GCAGCAGGGTAATTACTGTCCTCCTGCAGCTCTGCGGGAGCTCTCCCTCCCGCAGGCTCTCCGTTAGTACCTCGAGCAGGCAGGGGGCAATCTCGTCCCAAAAGGCCGTGTAGAATTCCGCTGGCACGCCGTCTAACCCAGGGGCCCTACCAGCTGCGAGGCCGCTCACAGCGGTGTGGAGTTCGGCCAGGGTGACGGGGCCATCCAGGCGCTCGCCGTCGGAGTCCCCAAGGGTGGGGCCCCCGTCCAGCAGGTCCCGGACAGCCTCATCGTGTATCTCGACCGCCCGAAAGAGTTCAGCGTAATAGCCCCTCACGACTTTGGTGATCTCGTCCTCGGCCGTGGCTACCTCCCCCTTCGGGGTTCTTAGGCCAAGAATGCTCCTGCTAATCGGAGTTTTTTTTTGCAGACCGAAGAAGTACTTGGAGGGCGCATCCATATGCAACAGATGTTGCATTTTTTTCTGCACGAAGGAGCTGTGGGCCTGCTGATCCGTGACAGCTCGGAAAAACTGCTGCTTCTCCAGCAGCACCTTCCCCGTGTTGTTGTTATCACCGCTGCTGCCGTGCGCATTCTGGGTCGAGCCCAGCTCCGCCTCGAGCAACAGCAGCTCATTCCCCAGTTGTTGCGCCGCCTCTTCCTCGGCGGTTGCGTGCTGGCTGCGCAGCTGCAGGCAGAGGGCCCTGACCTGCGCCTTCGTGCTCTCCCACCATTGCCACGTCGAGACAAAGGTACTCCTAGCGGCCTCCCAGTGGGCCCAGCAGGCCTTGAATGTTTCCCAAAAGTCTTTATTGTCAAGTAGCCGCACGTCAAGCTTCCAATAGGCGCTGCGGCGCTCCTCCCTGGGGACCTGCAGCCGCACGCAGACGAGGTGGTGGTCAGAGAAGCCCGATGGGACGATAGCGCTGTCGCCCAAGCAGGTTGGCGCCGCCGGCGCTGATGTAAATTCGGTCGAGTCTGGCGAGGCTCACTCTCCCTTGGGGAGCCACGCGGCACCACGAGTATTGCCACTGTCCTGGGTGGTGCAGCCGCCACGTGTCTAATAGACCCAGGCGCTGCACCACGTCGGCCAGCGGCCGTGCGGTCTCCGGGTGCGGCTCGGCTCCACTGCGGTCGAGCGCCGGGTTGAGTGTACAATTAAAATCCCCGCCGACGATCGTGATCACCTCGTCTGCGCTGGCTTTTTCCAGGGCGTCCCGCAGCGCGCCCGAGAAGAGGAGCCCCCTCTCATGGCTCGCGCTCGGTGTGTACAGGTTGATCACCCTCAACCCGGCGTCGCCGAGCGCAACGTCCGCCGTCATCAGGTGCCCCCTCACCACCTCCTTAAAAGTCACATGGTCTGGTGTAAAGTTTGGGCCGCACACGATCGCGACCCCCGTCCAATCGGCTTCCCCATGACTAAAAAAGGCCTGGCCGCCCATAAGGTGTTGGCGCTGCGCCTGCAGAGCTGCATCCAGATGCGTCTCTTGCAAGAGCGCTACCGCGACCTTTCGATTTTCAAGGAGACGGCACAAACGGTGCCATCTCACGTCGCTGCGTGCACTGTTACAGTTGAGGCTCGCTATGCAGACACCTGTCGCCATTGTGCTGGGTATCTGGGTCGGCCTCTGGTGTTTACTTTGGAAAGGCGGGGAAGGGGGGGAGGGGCCCCTTCTTCAGTCTCAGTGCTAGCGCCTTTAGGCGGTAGCCGTCCCGGGCGGTACACCTAAAGCTCTCCTGGGCACGAGTGATCTCCTGCGCCGACTTCAAAAGCCCCATGATGTCTGGGAAGGTGTCTTCAGGTATGACCCCCCGCCGTCTGAAGGTGGTTCGGAGGTAGTTGAGGATCATCTCGGGGGAGTATTGCCTCTCCTCCTTGATCCCCGAGTAACTACGCTCGCTTGCGTCGTCGTCGCCGCCGTCGCCGTCGTCGCCGTCTGACTCCGACTGCACATCGTCGTCGTCTGTGTCTTCGCGCGTGGCGGCGCGGCTTTCGGCCGTCACCTCTCCTGTTGCGCTACGCGGAGCCGGGGTCTCACCTGTCCCAGGGCGGCTCTCCTTCCCCGATTCCGCGGTCGTCGTCGTCATTGTCGTAGCCGTCGTCATCGTCCCGACGTGCGGCGGTGTGAGCGGAGTGAGCGAAGGGGCCCCCCCTTCCCTCAGTGGGAGCGGCCAAAACCGGGCCCGGGTCCGGCGGTCGCTCCGCCTCCTCGTCGCCGCCCGGCGGGTGGGGTTCTGCCGCTGGGCAGCGACGACGCCCGCGTGGCCGACGACCTCGGCCACCGCTTCGACGACGGCGTCAACGGCGATGTCCGACGGCAGGAAGACAACGAGGCCGTTCTTCCTCGTGAGGCTCTCCAGCCTGGCTTGCTGCGCCATTATGGCGGCCGGCAGCAGCACACCTGTGCACGTGGTCGTTGTTGTCTTCGTACCTCATGAGCCGCTCAAGGGGCTCGGTGAGCAAAAAAAAAAAGAATAATAAAGAAAGTAAAGTAAAATAGGGGGGGAATAAAATCGAATGAGGGAGGGGATGAGGGGAGTTACGATGTTTAAATCTTCTTTGAACGCCTCTCTCGGGCTTGGCCTAATTGATGGAAAAGACCAGGCCTCTATTGCGCCAGGTGAGAGCCCGGGAGCTCCACCTGGGCGCAGCCACCTCCGCGCATGCGCAGAGAGAGAGAGGAGAGAGACAGAGGAGAGAGACAGAGGAGAGGGACACAGAGGAGAGAGACACAGAGGAGAGAGAGAGAGGAGAGAGACAGAGGAGAGAGAGACAGAGGAGAGATAGGGACAGAGGAGAGAGAGAGAGACAGAGGAGAGAGACAGAGGAGAGAAAACACAGAGGAGAGAGACACAGACGGGCGAGACAGAGGAGAGACAGAGGAAAGAGAGACAGAGGAGAGAGAGAGACAGAGGAGAGAGAGACAGAGGAGAGAGACACAGAGGAGAAAGACACAGAGGAGAGAGACACAGAGGAGAGAGAGACAGGGGAGAGACAGAGGAGAGAGAGACAGGAGAGAGAGAGACAGAGGAGAGAGACACAGAGGAGAGAGACACAGAGGAGAGAGAGACAGGGGAGAGAGAGACAGAGGAGAGAGAGACAGAAGAGAGAGACACAGAGGAGAGAGACACAGAGGAGAGAGAGACAGGGGAGAGAGAGACAGAGGAGAGAGAGACAGAGGAGAGAGAGACAGAGGAGAGAGAGACAGAGGAGAGAGAGAGAGACAGAGGAGAGATAGAGACAGAGGAGAGAGAGAGACAGAGGAGAGAGACAGAGGAGAGAAACACAGACGGGCGAGACAGAGAAGAGACAGAGGAAAGAGAGACAAAGGAGAGAGAGACAGAGGAGAGAGACACAGAGGAGAGAGACACAGAGGAGAGAGAGAGGGGAGAGAGAGACACAGAGGAGAGAGACAGAGGAGAGAGAGCCAGAGGAGAGAGAGAGACAGAGGAGAGAGACACAGAGGAGAGAGACACAGAGGAGAGAGAGACAGGGGAGAGAGAGACAGAGGAGAGAGACACAGAGGAGAAAGACACAGAGGAGAGAGACACAGAGGAGAGAGAGACAGGGGAGAGACAGAGGAGAGAGAGACAGGAGAGAGAGAGACAGAGGAGAGAGACACAGAGGAGAGAGACACAGAGGAGAGAGAGACAGGGGAGAGAGAGACAGAGGAGAGAGAGACAGAAGAGAGAGACACAGAGGAGAGAGACACAGAGGAGAGAGAGACAGGGGAGAGAGAGACAGAGGAGAGAGAGACAGAGGAGAGAGAGACAGAGGAGAGAGAGACAGAGGAGAGAGAGAGAGACAGAGGAGAGATAGAGACAGAGGAGAGAGACAGAGGAGAGAAACACAGACGGGCGAGACAGAGAAGAGACAGAGGAAAGAGAGACAAAGGAGAGAGAGACAGAGGAGAGAGACACAGAGGAGAGAGACACAGAGGAGAGAGAGAGGGGAGAGAGAGACACAGAGGAGAGAGACAGAGGAGAGAGAGCCAGAGGAGAGAGAGAGACAGAGGAGAGAGACACAGAGGAGAGAGACACAGAGGAGAGAGAGACAGGGGAGAGAGAGACAGAGGAGAGAGAGACAGAGGAGAGAGACACAGAGGAGAGAGACACAGAGGAGAGAGACACAGAGGAGAGAGAGACAGGGGAGAGAGAGACAGAGGAGAGAGAGACAGAGGAGAGAGACACAGAGGAGAGAGACACAGAGGAGAGAGAGACAGGGGAGAGAGAGACAGAGGAGAGAGAGACAGAGGAGAGAGAGAGACAGAGGAGAGAGAGACAGAGGAGAGAGAGAGACAGAGGAGAGAGAGAGACAGAGGAGAGAGAGACAGAGGAGAGAGAGAGAGACAGAGGAGAGAGAGACGGTTTTGCGCGACCGGCCGCCTAGTCAGTGGTGTGGTGCTGCAACAGCTGGCACTCGTGCTGTGGTGGCTGCCGTTGCTGCTGTTGAGGCTGCGGTGGCTGCTGCTGTTGCAGCTGCTGCTGCTGCTGCATGATGTTAGTAGCAGGCTGCACGTTTTTTTCCTTTTGGTTTGCCCGTGCAGTTTGCACGGGCATGGCCGAAGCCACTGCACACGTAGCAGCGCAGCAACGCGGTCGACGCGTACACGGTGTAGGTGTAACCTTCCGTCGTGTACTTAAATTTAACGTTAAGCCCCGTGTTGTTGGCGTTTAAAAATCACAAAAATGTGTCGCTGAAACGACAAGACGTGCACCAGTTCTGTGTCCCGTGTGCGCAAGAGCAGCATCATGATGCGGGACACAACTTTGCCCAACCGCTCAAGGTCTCGTTGTAGGTCAGCAGTTTTGAGGAAATGGAGGGCTGTTGCAGATGAGCACTTTTTGTGTGACGGAGGAGAGAGGTGTACATTGCAGAAATATCTTGCCCTTAAAGGTGAGCCCTGTGGCGATGACTAACAGAGTGACAGAGAGAGGAAGAGATAGAGAGAGAGAGACAGAGACAGACAGACAGGGAGACAGACAGACCGACAGAGACATACTGACAGACAGGGACATACCTGTGTTATGATTTCCCGTAGTGATGAAGTTTACAACGGAGTTGACTCTGCTATCAGCAACATGTGGTCTGTAATCAGTGATACCGTCCGGACCTACAGAGAAACATTACATTATAAATATTGAGTGAGTGATTGGGTGAGTCGGTGAGTGGGTGAGTGATAGACTGAGTGAATGGGTAGGTGATTGAGTGAGTGAATGAGTGGGTGGGTGATTGAGTGGATATGTGAGTGGGTGAGTGGGTGGGTGGTCGAGTGAGTGGGTGGGTGAGTGAGTGAGTGGGTAGGTGAGTTAGTGGGTGGGTACATGGGTGAGTGAGTGGGTGGGTGAGTGAGTGAGTGGGTGAGTGAGTGGGTGGGTGAGGGAGTGGGTGGATGAGTAGGTGAGTGAATGGGTAGCTGAGCAAGTTGGTGAGTGGATGAGTGGTGTGTGAGTGGGTGGGTTAGTGAGTGAGTGAATGAGTAGTGAGTGGGTGGCTGAACCAATTGGTGAGTGGGTGAGTGACTGGGTGAGTGAGTGCATGAGCAGGTGAGTGAGTCGGTGATTGAGTGGTGAGTGGGTGAGTGAGTGGTGAATGGGTGGGTTAGTGAGTGGTGAGTACCTGAGTGGCTGAGTGAGTGGGTGTGGATGAGTGGATGTGTGGGTGATTGGGTGTGTGGGCGATTGAGTGAATGTGTAGGTGAGTGGGTTCTTGAGCGAGTGGGTGGGTTCTTGAGTGGGCCGGTGAGTTTGTGATTGAGTGAGTGTGTGTGTAGGTGTGAAACTGATAGTTTGAGTGAGTAGGTGAGTGAGTTCGTGAGTGGGTGGGTGAGTGGGTGAGAGGGTGGGTGAGTGGTTAGATGATGCGTGAGTGGGTGGGTGAGTGAGTGAGTGGGTGAGTGAGTGGGTGGGTTGGTAGGTGAGTGAGTGGGTGGGTACGTGGGTGGGTGAGTGGGTGACTGAGTGAGTGGGTGGGTTCTTGAGTGAGTGGGTGGGTGGATGAGTAGGTGAGTGAATGGGTGGCTGAGCAAGTTGGTGAGTGGTGAGTAAGTGGGTGAGTGAGTGAGTGTGTTGAGGGTTAAGCGAATGAGTGGGTGAGTGGGTGGCGAGTAAGTGGGTGAGTGAATGGGTGTGGGTGAGTGGGTTCTTGAGTGGGCGGGTGGATTGGTTATTGAGTGGGTGTGTGGGTGTGAATGTGAGTGGGTGGATGAGTGAGTTGTTGAGCGGGTGGGTGAGTGGTGAGAAGATGCGTGAGTGGGTGAGTGAGTGAGTGGGTGACTGAGTGAGTCGGTGGTTGAGTGGTGAGTGGGTGGGCGGGTCATTGAGTGATTGGGTGAGTGATTTGGTGAGTGAGCGAGTGGGTGATTTAGCGGGTGGGTGAGTGGTGAGTGTGTGGTGCTCGTGTTAGTGAGTGACTGAGTATGTGCGTGCGTAAGCGAATGGTTGAGTGAGTGAGTGGTAAGCAAGTGAGTGGGTGAGTAAGCAAGTGAGTGGGTGAGTGAGTGGTGAGTGGGTGGCTGAGCGAGTGAGTGGATGATTGTGTGAGTGAGTGGATGCGTGGGCGAGTGAATGAGCGAGTGGGTAAGCGAGTGGGTAGTGAGTGGGTGAGTGAGTGAGTGGGTTGAGTCGCTGAGTGAATATGCTGGTCATTGTGTGAGTGACTGAGTGAGTGAGTGGTCGGTCAGTCAGTCAGTGGTGAGCCATTAGTGAGTGAGCGAGTGAGTGGTGAGTGAATCACCTGTGTACAAGACTCCACTTATCGGTGATGCATCCCTCGCTCTTCTGGCCATCACTCTACAGACAAAGCTACTCCAGGTAGCCTCTAACAGGGCTGCGAGAAGGCCTGTGTGCAGATGCAGCACTTGTCGTAGTTTAAAAAAAAAGAAAAAGTGAGAGGGAGGACGAGAGAGAGCGACATGGAGTAGGAAAAGAGGGGGTAGAGAGAGAGGGGGGGGCAGATAGGGGGTAGAGAGAGAGGGAAGGGGTAAGGATAGCAGCGCGAGAAATCTTTTGTTAAATATTTTATTTAAAAGGGGGGGGGGGGGGAGGTGTTTACATAAAGCAAATCATAAAAAAAACAAAATGATGAACGAAGCAAAGTGCCGACTACACCGAGCATCTTCTTGTTTCCTCTGATCGTAAAAAAGAAAAGAGAAAGACACGGGCAGAGAGAGAGACACGGGGAGAGAGACACGGGGAGAGAGAGACACGGGGATAGTTTTAGTTATGATGATAATTAATTACTCATTCACTCACCTCCGCCACCCAAACCTCACGTGGTGTGTGTTTGTTTGTGTGTCTGTGTTTCTATTTTTCTGTGTGTCTGTGTGTTTCTATTTTTCTGTGTGTCTGTGTGTGTCTCTGTGTGGCTGTGTGTGTTTGTGTGTGTCTCTGTGAGTCTGTGTGTGTCTATGCGTATGTGTGTGTCTGTATGTCTCTGTGTGTGTATCTGTGTATTTGTGTCTCTATGTGTGTGTCTCTCTGTGTTTGTGTGTCTGTCTGTGTATCTGTATGTCTCTGTCTCTGTGTCTGTCCGTGTATCTGTTCGTCTGTGTGTGTCTCTGTGTGTGGAGTGCCTCTTAGTTGGAGTTGGTTAAACGCCCCCAGGAAGTCAACTCGGCGTTGCTAGGACGTTCAGTGCCATAGAAACTCCAACCCACACAGCCACACACACACTCTCCCTCTCCCCGTGTCTCCCCCATCTCCCTCTCCCCACCTCTCCCTCTCCTCACTCTCCTTTTTATGATCAGAAGAAACAAGAAGATGCTCGGTGTAGTCGGCACTTTGATCCGTTCACCATTTCGTTTTTTTTGTAATGCTTTGTTTTATGTAACCCCCCCCCTTTTAAATGAAAGACCCAATTTTTTTTCTTTTTTCTTTCCCCTTCCCTCTCTCTCCACCCCCCTCTCTGCCCCCCCTCTCTCTACCCCCCTCTCTGCCCCCCCTCTCTCTCTACCCCCCTCTCTGCCTCTCCTCTCTCTCTACCCCCTCTCCGCCCCCCCTCTTTCTCTACCCTCTCTCTTCCTACTCCATGTCGCTCTCTCTCTCTCGCTCTCCCTCTCGCTCTCTTCTTTTTTTTAACTACGACAAGTGCTGCATCTGAACGCAGCCCTTCTCGCAGTCCATTGGCCTCCGACGGGTAGCTCACAATCTGCATGCAGAGCTCTCCGTCATCTGCCACCGAACACACGGCCTCCTCCAGCGCCCACTACCCCTTGAAGGCCGGCACGGCGTGGGTCAGCCGAGCATGGCGGAACTCCAGCCACACTCTGGCTCCGACCAGAGCGCAGAAAATGCCAAGGCTGCTGGCCGGACGTTTCACCTCCAGGGCTACCTTCCTCGCCCCTCTCTGCTCCCCTCCCCCCTCTTTCTCTACCCCCCTCCCCCCTCTTTCTCTACCCTTTCTCTTCGTACTCCATGTCGCTCTCTCTCTCGCTCTCCCCCCTCTCCCCCCCCCTCTCCTCGCCCCCCCCTCCTCTCCCCCCTCTCCCCCCCTCTCCCCCACTCCTCTCTCCTCTCGCCCCCTCTCCTCTCCCCCCCTCACCTCTCCCTCTCTCCCCCCTCTCCTCTCCCTCTCCCCCCTCTCCTCTCCCTTTCCCCCCCTCCTCCTCTCCCTCTCCCCCCCTCCTCCTCTCCCTCTTCCCCCCCTCTCCTCTCCCCCTCCCTCCTCTCCCCCTCCCCCCTCTCCCCCCCTCTCCTCTCCCCCCTCTCCCCCCCTCTCCTCTCCCCCCCTCTCCCCCCTCACCTCTCCCCCTCCTCTCTTCTCCCCCCCCTCTTCCCCCCCTCCTCCCCCCCTCCTCTCCCTCTCCCCCCTCTCCTCTCCCCCCCTCTCCTCTCCCCTCCCTCTCCTCTCCCTCTCACACCATCTCCCCCCCTCTCCCCCCATCTCCTCTCCCCCCTCTCCCCCCCCTCTCCTCTCCCCCGTCCCCCCCTCTCCCCCCCTTCTCCTCTCCCCCCTCTCCCCCCCTCTCCTCTCCCCCCCTCCTCTCCCCCCCTCTCCCCCCTCACCTCTCCCCCTCCTCTCTTCTCCCCCCCCTCTTCCCCCCTTCCTCTCCTTCTCCCCCCCTCTCCTCTCCCCCCACTCCCCTCCCTCTCCTCTCCCTCTCACACCATCTCCCACCCTCTCCCCCCATCTCCTCTCCCCCCTCTCCTCTCCCTCTCCCCCCCCCCACTCCTCTCCCCCGTCCCCCCTCTCCCCCCTCTCCTCTCCCTCTCTCCCCCCCTCTCCCCCCCTCTCCCCCCCTCTCCTCTCCCTCATCACCCATTATAACCACCACCCATCATCATCAGTACTACCACCATCACCCATCACAACCCATCACAATCACAACCCATAATAATCACCAACCATCATTACCACAAGCCCTCACCACCCATCATCACCACCACCCATCATCATTACCACCACCCATCACCATCATCACACACATCACCCATCACCATCATCACACACCATCAATGATCATCACCACCACTACCCAACCATCACAACCAACACCCATGACCATTCATCATCGCCACCACCACCCACCACCCATCACCACCAATCATAATCACCACCACCCATCACGCATCATCACCACCACCCATCATCATAGCCACCACCTATCAACAGCCATCACCACCACCCCCAATCATCATTACCACTACCACCACCACCAATCATAATCACCACCCATCATCATCAACACAACCCATCATCCAGCATCATCATCACCACCGACTGTCACCACCACCCATCATCACCACCCATCATCAGCATAAACACCCATCATCATCAACCACCTATAAAAACCACCAACCATAATCGTGAACACCCATGATCATCACGACCACCCTTCATCACTACCAGACATCATAATCACCACCCATCATCACCATCACCACCACCCATCATCACCAACCATCATCATCATCACCAACCATCATCATCACCACCCATCACCATCATCACACACCATCACCCATCATGATCAACACCACCACCCAGCCATTATAGCCACCACCCATCATCATCACCACCCTCATCCATCATCATCACCACCCATTACAATCATCACCCATCATAATCACCATCCATCATTATCACGATTATCGCCAACCATCATCATCGTCACCGCCCGTCGTCACAGCCCGTCGTCACCGTCCGTCGTCACCGCCACCGCCACCACCAATCATCAGCATCAACACCCATTATCATCACCAGCCATCATCATCATGACCACCACCCATCATCATCAGTACCACCACCATCACCCATCACAATCACCAACCATAATTACCACCACCCATCATCATTACCACCACCCATCACCCATCATCGCCACCAACCACCCAACATCAGCAACACCCATCACCACCATTACCACCATTACCACCAGCCATCACCACCTATCGTCACCACCCACTACCACCACCGCCCACCGTCACATTCACCACCAATCATAATCACCACCCATCGTCCTCACCACCCATAATCATCAAAACCAATCATCAGCATCAATACCCGTTATCATCACCAACCATCATCAGCAGGAACACCCATCATCATCAACACCCATCATTATAACCATCATCACCACCAACCACCCAACATCAGCACCACCCATCACCACCCATCACCACCACCACCATTACCACCAGCAATCACCACCCACCACCACCACTGCCCACCGTCACATTCACCACCAATCATAATCACCACCCATCGTCCTCACCACCCATAATCATCAAAACCAATCATCAGCATCAATACCCGTTATTATCACCAACCATCATCAGCAGGAACACCCATCATCATCAACACCCATCATTATAACCATCATCACCACCAACCATCATCATCATTGCCACAAATGACCCAGCATTACCACCACCCATCACCACCGATCATCACCACCACCCATCACCAGACATCACCATCACCCAACATCATTAAGACCACCACCACATATCATCATCACCAGCCATCAACCATCATTATCATCAACACCCACCATCATCACCAACCATCATTATCACCATCCATCACCATAATCACAACCACTCTTCATAATCACCACCCATCATCACCACCAATACCGATTACCAGCCATCATCACTACCACCCATCACCAGACATCACCACCTCCACCAACATCACCACCCATCTTCATTAGGACCACAAGCCATCACCATCATCACAAACCATCACCAATCATCACCACCACCACCCACCCATCATAACCACCACACCTCATCATGACATCCCAACACCCATCATCATCACAACCACCACCACCACCACCCATCATCAGCATCAACACCCATCATCATCACCAGCCAACACAATCATCTCACACCATCACCCATCATAACCACCACCCATTATCATCACCAATCATCATCATCATTACCACCACAACAACCCATCACCATCATCACACACCATCACCCATCATGATCAAGACCACCACCACCACCACCCAGCCATTATAGGCACCACCCATCATCATCACCACCAATCACCCACCATCATCACCACCCTCATCCATCATCACCACCCATTACAATCATCACCCCCCATCATAATAACCACCCATCATTAGCCATCACCACCACCACCACCCTCCAACCACCACCACCACCACCACCACCCACCAACCAACAAAACCACCCACTAACCACCACCACCATGTTGTATATATAGGCCTTTTTTCAAAAAATTATGTTAAGAATTATTCTTCATAATAAAGGTTTTTGGATTAGATTGCGTTATTTATAAATGTGTCGTAACCCTCCACCACCCGACACGGCCAAACAGTAAAAAATGTGTCACGTTTACAAAAGACAAATAGTTCACTACTTTAGCCCACCGGTGTGTTGAAAAGTGAATCAACATCATTTAAAATTTTAGTACGACGTTTCGCTGGTAATTACATCCAGCTTCATCGGGCAATTCGCCAGAATGGTAAAACCCTCACTTGCTCCCGGTCTTAAATAGAGCAGCAGGGTGAGCGTAGCAAGGGCGTCATCGTCCAGCATGGCCGGTAGCGCACTCAACGCCTCGTTGTCCGTCCAGCCGGCCATCTCTTGATGAGCAAGAAAGCGGCGTTGAAAGGCCCCCCAGTCGCCGCCATCTGAAACGAACTCCTTCAACACCGGCAGGCGTTGTTGAAACGATGGCTTCGTCTCTGAGAGGTGCCGCGCGCCATTTCCGGCCTCTCCGCCGGTGTTGGAGGGGCTGGGGACACCCATCGGCGGTCGCGCAGGTGATGACGATGCGCCCGCCGATTGGTCCTGACAGCGGGCGTCCGTTGGTGATGACGTCACCACCGCTGATTGGCCCACAGCGTCCACGTGGAGCTGCGACCCTCCAATCGCCGTGGCGGACACTGTCATGGCGGCAAATCCGAAATCTGGTGACTGTGTTTCGGCGGGAATGGCCGTTGAACGGCGTTCGTCTCTCTGCCGCCTTTGCGCCCGCAGCCCCGCGCGGTTAATTTCCTCCAGCGTGGAAGCCGCGGCATACAGCAGCTCAGCCAGTCGAGAGTGAGCCGCCTGCAACCCGTCCTCCATCGGCGGCCACTCCTCCAGCGGCGGCTGCTGTTGGGGCATCTGGGGTATCCCAGGATCGTCGGCCGCGGCCTCTGGCGCAATCCCAGGCGAGCCGTCCTCCTCCTGGGGTTCCTGTGATCGGTTTGTACTCCTTGTGTCCATTTTAAGACCACTTCTGACACCAGTTGTAGTGGGTTCCAGGACACGGAGACGGCAGAATAGAAGCAGCACTATTTATTTAAACCTTAACAAGGGTTACACTAGAAGGGGTAGCGGCCCCTCCACCCGTATAACTCAGGAACACACCCCAGGCTCTCTAGCCTAAGCTCTAGGCTCCCAGTTCCTCCTGGTAGGGCTCTAAGGGAGGCTATCAGATCCGGCCCTGGTTAGGCACAGATCTCGGCACCCCGCCGACCAGACCGGCCCTTAGAAGGACTCTGACTCTGGGGCTCTGGGGCCGCACCACTGGCTTGCTGTGCCGGCCCTGAAAAGGGCAGCGGTCACAGGAGTTCCAGGGTCTCACCTAGCTGGCCTTCTTTCTTCACTGGTTGCTTCAGCCTCGGGCCCCACACTCTGCCCCGAGCTCCCTGGCTCCCCGCACTTTATACCCACTGGAGCCTTAGCGGACGTTGTAGCCACCAAGGTGTGGGTGAACCACACCTTCCCGTGCCATGTGTTTATTCCCCATAGCACCCCTACATATACATAGGAGGCTCCTTGATCAATTACTTTTAGTAGACATGGCTTGGTGGTGATGGGAAGACGTAATGATCGAGTGTGGCAGAGGATGGGTTTAGAACTTAAGCTTATGGAATTGGTCTCAACATGCCCACAAAAACATGACTTGTAAAGGTTCACTGCCATGTGATGAATATTTCTCAATAGCAGGTCCTGTTGTGTGGTAAAACGTATTTACAGGGATTTTAAAATTAGTTCTGTGACACTCCAGGTCCTTTGTTAGTTTTGAAGATCACATTGATTATATTGGTAAAAAGACAAAAATATAAATTGGTTTTCTGTATCGACACAAGCACTGCTTCCCCCCAATGTTCCGTTTGGAATTTATAAAAGCTACCATACTGCCTCTACTTGACTACTGTGACATCGTGTATAAATCAGCCCCAAGTACTGTACTGAAGAAGCTTGATTCCATCTATCACTCGGCCTTAAGATTTGCATTTAACTGCCCATATAGGACTCACCACTGTGATCTCTACATTGGGTCAAACTTAACATCTCTTAATGTTTGACGGCTTGTGCACCAGATCTTATTTATTCACGATGTACTTACAAAAAATTCCGCAGACTACCTACTGGATCTCCTCTGTTTCAAAGAACAAATTTGATCTCAGGTCTTCGCTCATTTACCAGCTTCACATTCCCTATTGCCGTACAAAAACTGGAGGAAGGGCCTTTGCTATTGATGCCCCCAGGGTCTGGAATGCTATTGCCAATAAACTGCAACTTGAATCACTACCTATGAGATCTTCACTCAAAACTGCTCTAGAGGAGTTGTACAACCCTAGCTGCCACTGCTTTTCAGTGGCCTAAAATATGGCTCTAGATTTTGGTGTTATAATTTATTTATGTAGTTTATTGTTAAAAATTCGGTCACAGTCCCTATGATTACTGTTACATTGGATTTATGGCTTTTATTTTGGTGATTTCGAAAAGTTTTTTTTTGTTTTGGCCATGTTTTTGTTTATTGTAGTACGGAGTTAGACTGATGGCCTTAATCTTAGTTGTCTTGTGGTTGTTGTTGTTGTTGTTGTTATTTGACTTGCATCCCACTGGGATTTTTGCACACAGCGTTGGTGTACGGTGCTATTTCAGGAATATTTTGATGTTTTTTCCTGGATTTTCTGTTTGCACAGTCACATAATCACTTTAAGATGTTTTCTTGTTCATGTTTTTTGTTTGTTGCGGTTGCACCCGATTCAAGAGCCCACAGGGCTATACCAAATAAATGAACTAACTAACTTGTTCTCTAATTCATTACTCGTCCTTTGAATTAATTTTCTGTTCTTCGTAGGCCGGGAGTCGTCGTGCCAGTCGACCACGTGGGGGACATTATGGACAAAGTGGACCCTTTTCCAGGCCAGAGTCACAAGCATCACTCCCCAAAGGTGTGTATGGGGTCTGTGGGGGTCAATCACACAACATTCTCTCCAAAACTAGCACACAGTGTCACCACACCATCACACCAAAATATCACTACACCACCTCTCCACATCACCACCAATTAAATACACCATCATAGAGCCTCATCATGTCTCTATACCATCACAAGACACCATCTCTCTAGAACATTCCACTACTTCACCTCTTCATATAACATCAGCTCCCGACACCATCACCCAATCTCCCCACCATGCAAACACTTGAAGTGGCCATTTATTACCAACTCGCGGGAAGTACTGGCATTGCGCGGATAGAAAATATATTTCAAATGTTCTCTTAAAAACGTATGTATACATACACAAATACTAAGCTATTGTGAAAGCCCGGTAGGCCGTTTGTCCATTTCTCGACCAATAAAATAATAAGAGGCTTGCACAAGTTCAAAAAGTTATAGAAAGTGGGGGGTAAATAGTTAATTCAAAAGGTTTCCGAAAATTGTCGACCCCCCCCCCCCGCCCTAAAAAATATCTTTACCCGCACGTAGGTATATATACCTACACACCCTATATACAGAGGAAGTGGTATCTATTGCTCTGGAGTTGTATTTACTGACTGTACAGTAGTATCTAATGAGTGAGTAGTTGCTACTCTTTAGTAGTATTCTTGGTTCTTTCGGTAAAGTGACGTAGAAGGGAAATAATAAAAATAAAACAATATAATAAAATTCTCACGTTTCGCCCACAACACAAGCAGCCGTCCTCAGGTGAAGAAACAGAGCTGTCATAAAGACAGCGTCTTAATGAACACCGCTAAGCTTGGCAGCGTGTTTTAAGCTGGGTGGGAGGAGGAGAGAGCCTTGACAAAGGAGTTTACATATCAGAGGAATTTAGCATATTGATGAGGGAGAAATCCCCCCCCACCCTCCACCGATGACACGCGTGCGTTGCTAGGGGCAACCCCCATCCAGCTTGAGCGGGGTGGGGGGATAAATAAAGAAAAAAGCACTAAAAAGTTAATTTAACTACTTTAATGTTTACGGATGGGAAAACGGTACAGCCTATGCCAAATCCCTCTCAAGCGCGTGTATGCAGAGACTTTTATATATAAGATTAAGACAGAATTATATAAATCAGTCGCATGAATTATGTCTGTTAGTTGATTGGAAATTGCCATTCCAGGTGCCCACTATGGGCGCTGCTGTGAAATTTGTCCAGAGTATGGGCTTCCAGATCTTTATAATTGAACATTCTGTGGAAACAATTTCCAGTGATGATTGTTGCCAACAATTGCTATGAAATCTTCGCAGTCGATTAAAGCCTTAAGCGCATGTATGGGGTTTGTGAGGATATATGAGGATGTAACATTTATTTGGATTCTGTAGGGGTTGGGATATTTAGGGGTTAGGGCTACACGTACGTGATAAAAGTAATGATGGATAAGGTGTTATGTTAACATCAGGTGATTGTGTATATTCTACTGTGTGCTAAGCAAGTTTGAATGAGTGAACGTGGATGTCTGCATCTGTACATAGATGTGTATGCATTTGTGTTTGGGTTTATCTGCACGTCCATGTTTGCGTGCCTGAAGGAAGCTTCCACTCCGCGTGCTCACTGAGATTCTAGAAAAACGTTTGGATTCATCTGCTACCAAAATACTGAAAACATCAGGAGACCGTGGATGAAGTACAAATAAAGCATGGAAAAAATGTTTTCAGTTATGAATCTGAACAAGACCAAGCACAGATCATGCATCACCGATGACAACCTCCACGCTGTTTTACAGATTGCTACTGCACAAGACCTAAAGCCAGACATCGACGGACTGACCTCAGGAAAATGGTGTCAGCTATCCAACCAGGAAACAAATACAAATTGATCAATGGATGTGGAAGGTGTTTGATATGGTGTCTCAAGGTGAGGTGGGATCTACAGTGAGGGAATAAAGTATTTGATCCCCTGCTGATTTTGTATGTTTGCCCACTGACAAAGAAATGATCAGTCTAATTTTAATAGTAGGTTTATTTCAACAGTGAGAGACAGAATAACAACAAAAAATCCAGAAAAACGCATGTCAAAAATGTTATAAATTTATTTGCATTTTAATGAGGGAAATAAGTATTTGACCCCCTCTCAATCAGAAATATTTCTGGCTCCCAGGTGTCTTTTATACAGGTAACGAGCTGAGATTAAGACCACACTCTTAAAGGGAGTGCTCGTAATCTCAGCTTATTACCTGTATAAAAGACACCTGTCCACAGAAGCAATCAATCAGATTCCAAACTCTCCACCAAGGCCAAGACCAAAGAGCTCTCCAAGGATGTCAAGGACAAGATTGTAGACCTACACAAGGCTGGAATGGGCTACAAGACCATTGCCAAGCAGCTTGGTGAGAAGGTGACAACAGTTGGTGTGATTATTCGCAAATGGAAGAAACACAAAATAACTATCAATCTCCCTCGGCCTGGGGCTCCATGCAAGATCTCACCTCGTGGAGTTGCAATGATCATGAGAACGGTGAGGAATCAGCCCAGAACTACACGGGAGGATCTTGTCAATGATTTCAAGGCAGCTGGGACCATAGTCACCAAGAAAACAATTGGAAACACACTATGCCGTGAAGGACTGAAATCCTGCAGCGCCCGCAAGGTCCCCCTGCTCAAGAAAGCACAGATAATGCCCGTCTGAAGTTTGCCAATGAACATCTGAATGATTCAGACAATTGGGTGAAAGTGTTGTGGTCAGATGAGACCAAAATGGAGCTCTTTGGCATCAACTCAACTCGCCGTGTTTGGAGGAGGAATGCTGCCTATGACCAAGAACACCATCCCCACCGTCAAACATGGAGGTGGAAACATTATGCTTTGGGGGTATTTTTCTGCTAAGGGGACAGGACAACTTGACCGCATCAAAGGGACGATGGACGGGGCCATGTACCGTCAAATCTTGGGTGAGAACCTCCTTCCCTCAGCCAGGGCATTGAAAATAGGTCGTGGATGGGTATTCCAGCATGACAATGACCCAAAACACACGGCCAATGCAACAAAGGAGTGGCTCAAGAAGAAGCACATTAAGGTCCTGGAGTGGCCTAGCCAGTCTCCAGACCTTAATCCCATAGAAAATCTGTGGAGGGAGCTGAAGGTTCGAGTTGCCAAACATCAGCCTCGAAACCTTAATGACTTGGAGAAGATCTGCAAACAGGAGTGGGACAAAATCCCTCCTGAGATGTGTGCATATCTGGTGGCCAAGTACAAAAAACGCCTGACCTCTGTGATTGCCAACAAGGATTTTGCCACCAAGTACTAAGTCATGTTTTGCAGAGGGGTCAAATACGTATTTCCCTAATTAAAATGCAAATCAATTTATAACATTTTTGACATGCGTTTTTCTGGATTTTTTGTTGTTATTCTGCCTCTCACTGTTAAAATAAACCTACCATTAAAATTATAGACTGATAATTTCTTTGTCAGTGGGCAAATGTAAAAAAATCAGCAGGGGATCAAATACTTTTTTCCCCTCACTGTACTTGATATGTACAGGACCAGACAACATCACCTTATTAACTTCATATGCCACAGATTGCACATTAGATCAGAGCACAATTATTTGTTTTGTCATAGTTCTGAATGTCTCAACTGGGACTAAAAAGTTAAACAAAGTTCATGTAATAAACAGTGCTTGTTAATATTTGTCTGTTGTTTAAAAGAAATACGTTTGTTACCAAATCTCATTTTCAATAAATTGTACAATAGTTGTACACTTGAATAGTGTGCTGGTCTTTAAAGGTATTGAATTTTGTTTATACTGCGACTGATACTCCAGCTGTTATGGAGTGAGTCATGCAGCCAGCTATGGCTGCAAAGTTTGGTCGTACATGTTATGTATGTATCGTTTATTTAGGCCGTAAGGTGAAGACGTTTTACGTTTAATCCCGTTCCCATATATGGGGCACTAAATTATTTTCATTCTAATAAAAATATCCATTGTTTTTGGGCGTGAAAATAAAAGTTCTCCATGTGTAATCCTGCAGTTTATTTGTATTACTGTTTAAAGTCGGCAATAGTTATTTCCTCGCGTAATTATATTTTGATCATCAGTGATGAGGCTTCGCGGAACAATCGTCACGTGCTTCCCGCTAGACCAATAAGGTGGCCGCTTTTTTGGGACAGGTAAACATTAGTCCAAGATGGCTGCGCCCTTGTTGTCAATATCAAGTAGTGAAGAAGAGGAAATTACGGCCAGACCTCCTTCAAAAGTCCGTAAAAAGTATTTTAAACAATGCTACATGCATCTCATGTCCATAAAGAAAGAACAAAGGATTTTACACGCACACGGTGGGATACATTCAGAAACTGCGTCAAACGGTGGCTTCTTTTGCAAGGTGAGAATCAGAGAATAGCAGAAACATACAAACATTGTCTAGAAATCGAGTTTGACAATGTTCCCGAAGACGCTGGGTTTCACTCCACTTGCTACAGGCGTTTCATTTACAAAGAGCGCTTGGATGCGGCCGAGAAACGGGCCACACAGCGTCCTGAAGCTCAAGATCAAGGCCAGTCTGTGCCATCGGGTAGTAACGTTAGTATCGCTACAGTTGATTGTCCGACAAAGAAACTTAGGTCCAGGACCAGCCTGCCAGTAGCTTGTGCTGGTCCTGTGCTTCCTGCCTTTTGCATAATTTGTAAGAAAACGGACAAGTACATTATTGTGGGAGGCAAACGCCAGAAGGACCATCTTTCACAGGCAGAAACGTTGTCAGCAGGTAGGTAAAAACAAAACACACACACAAACACGTTTGAACTTTTATTCCCTTATGCTGGGTACCATGGCTAACTTTCAATTACAATTACATAATTTATGTAATGTTTATTTTACAGTCAGAGACAGATTTGCATTGTTTGCATACAGCCAGAACACTCAATATTGTTTAACTCTTAACAGTTTTTTATTATTTTAATCAGTATTTATTTATTTACAGGCGAGTTGCTGAAAGCTGCTGAGATGAAGACACTAGCATTCTTGTGCATATTCGAGACAAAGAATGTGCGTCTCTGGAGGTGCGATACCACAAGTCCTGTTATAGACAGTACACCAGGTTCTTGACAAAGTCTAGTGCATCAGTTACTGTGACCTCAGAAGAACAGTGAGTTATTAATATTTTATATTATTAAATAATAATTAATAATTCCCTCACATTTTCACATTTCAAAAGTAAAGCATTGACCATCTATATTATCGATTTGTCTGTAAACAGTCTTGACTGCACAACTATTGCACCAGTCATTCAAAATGAAAAAATGTTTAGTAAATTGTTAATGTAGAAGAAACGAGAAATAATTTTCTTGCTGAAGAATAAAAAAAATCTCAAATTACTTTGTCAGGTTTCGATTTGCCACTATTTATACGACATAAAATTGAAGCCATTGTGCAATAGTTATGGCACAAAGTAATACATCTTTTCTGTTTTTAACGTGCTTTCTTTTCAGAAATGAGCCAACCTTCGATGCCAGCTACAAGATCTTCTGTGAGAGGATCATCCGCCATAGAACAATGACTCGGCTAAGAAGGATCTTTTAAATCTGGTGAAAAAACCATGAAGATCTTGAAGCGTCAAACTACAGGTAATTTGAATACCACAAATGTCTTTGGGATCTTTGGAAAGAACGTTTAAGCAACATTCTTTTTCTAACAAAAATGGAATTCATAATAATCATATTTTATAACGTGTAGAATCTGTTAACAGTGTATTTTAACTTAAAAACAAATTCAGTGTGAATATATCTTTATTTACACCATTGTGATCATCTTTCACTCTATCTTTTTGATTCAGGCAGGATAAATTGAAGAGGTTGGCCCGTGATTTCCCCCCAGCTGATGTTTCACTCCCCCCAAGAAGCGCAACATAAGTGAGATGGTTTTCGTTGAGACATTGTCTGCAGATAAGCTGATAGGCTACCTCATCCATCAGGTACAGAAACAACAGTCAACTGAGGTAACTAGCGAAAGTGACTGTGAAAACAGGGCTAGTGCAAAAAGCTGGTCCAATGGCCTCCATCAATACTGCAGAGGACACGAGGACACATTAATATTAAAGATGTTTCTGTGTGACTCTCCCGGTATGAAATGCCCGTGGCCACCCACATCAGATGACCTAAATGTGAGCGAGGCAAAATCTGTCGTTCCAATTGAACTGTACAATCTGATTTCCTGGATTATTGGTGCAACTGAGGAACCAACACTGGCCTATTATGTTGATATTCCAGATGACTTGAACCTAAAAGTGATATCTATCTGTCAAGACATTGTGTATCTTGCATCTAAGGGTCGGAGGCAGACCCCTAAATCATTGTCTTGGTCTAACGGTTCGCCATTTAACAGGTTCATCACAAATTGCGTCACTTCTAAATAGACTAGGACATTGTGCATCATGGGACACAGTTGTCAGTCTAGACACTAGCCTTGCCCAACTTCAACTGGTAGAGGGCAGAAACAAAATACCAAAGGGATTCTCAAAGAAGGTTCCTATGGTACTTGTGTGGGACAATATTGACTTTGGGGAGGAGACACTGTCAGGTCGTGGAACTACCCACCAAAGAAATGGGATTATGCTGCAAAGTTCTGTAGTTGAACCTGTGTCAACAGACAACCACTACAGAAGGAAGTTTCCTCATTGAAAGTACCCCCTAGCATCCCTGTCGAACAGTACCATCATTCTAAAAGACAAAGACCACAGCACTTGTTTAATCAGGAAAGTGTTCCATTACAGGCGGACACATACAAATTGAACACGGTGTCTGCTGTACAAACTGAACTGGCATATGTTTTTGTAAAGTCCATAGATGCTGAAAGATGCACAATACCAAGCTGGACAGGTTTCCATACATTACTTCAAGGTGATGGCACTCTGCAAAAGTCAGCACTGTATTATCTTCCAGTCATTGAGGCTTCACCGACATAAATGTCAACAGTAAACACAATTCTGAAGCGAAGTGTCCAAATTGCTAATTAGCTAGAACTGGACCATATAGTGTTAGTTTTTGACCAAGCTATATATGCTAAAGCACAGCAAATCCGCTGGAAAGATGACTTTACTCAGCGTATAGTGATTAGACTAGGTGAATTTCACACCTGCATGTCCTACCTGAGCATTCTAGGAAAAAGGTTTGGAGATGCACGACTGCAAGACATACTCATTGAGTCCGAAGTTGTTGCCCCAGGATCCATCAATGGAGTGATCAGTGGTCATCATTACAAGCGCAGCATGAGGGCACACAAACTTCTGTACGAGAGTCTGTAACACATCAGACTTCTCACCTTCTTAGATTCTCTGCCACCAGAGGAGATATGAGTGTCTGGATGTCATCAATGAGATCAAATGTGCATTCCTGGACAGAACAATGGATGTTTTGTGTGCAAATGAGAAATTTGACAAAATGTGTTCGAAATATGAAGACTTTGTTAAAAGAGGAAGTGCATAAAACCCAACGTTTGCCTTCTGGAGTTCATACATCGACATGGTACAGATACTCCTTCAATTTGTGAAAGCAACACCAGAATCTGATTGGCAGCTTCACCTGTCAACAGTGCACTTGATGATGGCATGGTTTTTTGCGTACAGTCGTGTAAATTATGCTAGGTATTTACCTTCATACTGGCTGGAAATGGTCAATTTGCCCCTCACACATCCTTCTTGCCATAGTGAGCTCAGTGTTAAAGTCCAGTGGACTGTCCAACGTCAAAGTGTCCATGGATTTGCCTCGATTGCTTGTGACCAGGCCATTGAGCAAACATGCAACAGAGATTCCAAGACAAAGGGTGGTTGGACAGGCAGGGTTAACACAGAATCGGGCTGCAGTATATCACTGGATATTGTCGCAACATGAAAGGGCTGCCATAGCAAGACAATGTGAGGCAATGGCAGGTAAATCTCCCAATATAAGGAAACGAAAAGACCTTGACAGCACACGAATTCATGCTGATGAAAGGGCTGTGACCAGAATAATTTCCACCATAGATTCCATACTAAATCCTTTTGACACACACCAAGATGGCATTGTGTGTCTTAGCTCTAGGACAGTAGCAGCTGAAGAAATCATGAGGGATTTTCTCCAGAAAAGGGGGAAAATGCTGTCAAAGAGTTTATGGACCAAAGACTGTTATCACCATCAGTTGACATATTAGCTCCCATCGAAAGGTGGAGACTGTTTAGTTGACAAAGTTCCGACAGATGGAGCTATTCTCTTTAATGGCATGGCAGTCATTCAAGCCATTCTATCAATACCAAGTACCTTTGGAGAGCTTGCAGAGACCATACTGCAGTACATAGTCAAGCTTGCTCTGAAACACAACTGTACACGGATAGACTTTGTGATTGACCAGTATCCGAAAATGAGTATTAAAAACCTAGAACGGTCACGTAGAGCTGGTGGTGGTACACAACTGGTGAAAATTTATGGACGGGATCAGAAGACACCAACACAATGGAAAAAGTTTCTATCAGATGGAACAAACAAAGAAGCACTGGCAGAATGCCTCTATGTTGTGTGGCGAGAGGCTGATCTTACCACTGTGGGCAAGGACTTAAGCTTGTACATAGCACATGGAGACCTGTGTCACTGCGTGGCTGTAATCGAGGGTTTACAAACTCTCAGTGCTGTTGAAGATCTGACATGTGATCATGAGGAATGTGACACCAGGGTGTTTTAACATGCACAACATGCTGCACAGGAACATCAAACTGTAGTCATCAAGAGCCCTGATACTGATGTGGCAGTGATTGCTTTAAGTCTGCAGCCAGATTTACCATGTAGGTTGTATTTTTTCACGGGGGTTGGCAACAAAACAAGGCTCATTGACTTAGCTAAGGTGTCATCAGCTCTTGGCACAAGTGTCTGTTTGGCACTTATTGGGATCCATACCTTCTCAGTTTGTTTCTCTACAAGTGCCTTTTATGGCAAAGGCAAAAGAAAGGCATTTTCTGTTGCTTGTGAGAAAGAGCAATATCTGACTGCTTTTACAAATCTGGGTAGCAGTTTTAACCTAGACCAGTCTACCTTTGAGCTACTTTGCACACATGTGTGCCACCTGTATGGCCAGTCATCTGCCGAAAATGTGAACGATGCAAGATACAAAGCATTCTGTATGGCATCATCAGCTTTGCCAGAACTATCCATGCCCCCGACAAGTGACGCCCTGTACCAACACTGCAAAAGGGCAACCTACCAAGCAGCCATAATGAGCCATTCTCTGAAAGGTATAATGTGTGCCCCTTCACCCGTTGGCAATGGGTGGCACCTCGAGGATGATGAGTTAACAGTGACCTGGATGACTAGAAATCCTGCCCCTGAAAGTGTGTTGCAGGCAGTCCACTGCAGTTGCAAGCATAGCAAATGTGAGACTGGAAGATGTTCCTGTATGTCTGCAAGACTGTCTTGTACTGATTTATGTCGGTGCCAAAATTGTGCAAATGTTTCACAGGAAACAGAAGACCTACATGGGATGATGGCTCTGATAGTGATAGGGATGATACCGATGAGTAAATATGCGCTGTGTTATAATTTAAGGTGATTTTGAGCTGTAAAGAATCTGTTGTAGAATTGTAATTTTTTTGGCAGCATTCAAAAATAAGGGGACAGCATTTCGAGTCATTTCAGCCAACTTGGGCCAAAGTGTGCTTATATTTGTATCTTTCTGTGATTACACAGTACCTACTGAAAATTTGGATGTATAAAACATCACAGTTTTGCTAAATTTATAATGTTTATGTTTAATTTTGCTTAGTGCCAATCCGTAAAGTTGAAGCATATTTTACACAAATGTGCCATATTTCATGGTCTACATTCACACTTAAGTATATAATTCACCAAAACCTGTCTCAAGTGTTTAGGTACATGTATAAATGTGAGTTTGAGAGATATTTTGTGTTGCTAAAATGTATATAAATAAAGTTACAAACAAAACCAGCAGCATAAGATTTTCGTTTTTTCCAATTCACAATTATATACATTTATGGATTGTGACAAAAAAACTGCAGGGTATTTTTCGGATAACTTTTAACAGTCGATAATGGGTTTGTCTATGAAAAAATTCATTTAAAAAGTAGTGCCCAGGTGTGGGAACGAAAATCATTTTCCAGCCACTTTTTCCTAGTTCACCTTATGCCTAATTGCTAAATTTGAATCACAGTTCCTATGATCACTGTTACATTATTTTTTATAGCTTTATTTTGGTGATTTTGAAAACGTTTTGGTTTAGCCATGTTTGTTTCTTGTAGTACAGAGTTAGCCTGATAACTTTAATCTAAATTGTCTTATGATTCTTATTGTTTGACTTGCATCCCACCGGGATTTTTGCACACAGTGTTGATATACGGTGCTTTTCTGGAAGACTTTGCTGTCTTTTCCTGGATTTTTCTGTTGCGTGTAGTCACTTTAAGATGTTCCTTGTTCATGTTTTTGTTTGTTGCGGTTGCACCCGAGTCAAGAGCCACATGGCTCAGTGTTATACCTAATAAATGAATCTGAAAAGCTTAAGTGAATTTCTGCTTGCATGTCTGAATATTGATGTGATTATCTTTGCTTGAACCCAGAGGATAATTGGGGAGTTGAAGGACTTCAGCGGGGTTAAGCGTCTCCAGGAGGAGAAGGACCTTGCGACGGAGAAACGCCTCATGGTAGAGGAGCACCTCCTTGAGGTGCAGCGCCTTGCCAGGGTGAAGTGCGGCACAGAGGAGAAGTGCTCCAGAGACTTTCCTCAAGAAGCGCCTCGTTAAAGTGAAGTGCTTCACGGAAGAGAAGCGTCTGGAGAAGTGTCTCGCCAACGTAAAGAGCGTCGAGGAGAAGCACCTCATGGAGGTGGAGCGGTGCCTCGCCAGGACTACTACCATCACCACCACCAACGCGGCCACCTCCGCCCCACCACCGCTGGCGCCACCACCATCACCGCTGCCGCCACCTCCGCTGCCACCATCACCACCATTGCCACCGCCACCACGGCCATCACCTCCAGCACCTCTGCTGCCACCACCGATGCCACCTCGGAGGTTGAGGAGCATGAGGAGAGAACGGAGAAAACAGAGAAGAGGGAGAAGATGGTGGTGGAGGATTAAGAGGTGGAGGATGAGACAAAGGAGATGGAGGTGGTGATGCAGGGAATGAAGAGGAAGCGAGGGGGCCTCGCTCGCGTAGCGAGAGCGGTCACCTCACTCCTCTGCCGCATGCTGCTATGTGGTGGCATGTCCACCACTCAGTAGGGGTGATGGTGGTCGTGGATCGGTGCCAACCATGACCACTATCACGATACTACCCACCCACCCCGTGATACATGCCACATACACACACCACATGGGTCCCCGGAGAGACCGCGCCACTGGGACCACAGCTGTGGAATGAAGCTGAGCAGCAGATGCCAGGACTACAGTGGAGAACGATTGCTACGAAGACACCGCACACCACACACAAACGGGACTAGCCCAAAAGCATAGCCGGCCCCACCCTGGGCCCCTTCCATGCTGGTTTCAGCCAGGCAGTCCTCATGGGATGACCTTGCCATGGTTTCCAGGACATGAAAGGGGCAGAAGTGCCAGGGTGAGAGAGCTGGAGGGGTCTGGTATGGACAATGGACGACACCTGCCAGGTGGCAAGCCCCAGGGCCACCCTGTAAAGAATAAGGTTCAATACCATTGCTGTTGTTGGTACTATAAACTCTGTGAAATCAACCCATGACACAAAATAACATTGACTTGCTTGCAAATGCTGCCTGGGTTCGTTAAATGTGCCTTGGCTTGGGTGTGCGGTGTTCCAGTTGTGTGTGCGGTGTTCCAGTTGTGTGTGTGGAGGTACAATGACCAATATATGAGAGACAAACATATTCAGGTGATTTGCCTCTTTCACAACACTGCCACTACTCCACTGCCCCACTGATCCACTGCCCCTCGCTCCCCTATATACGGCCCTGTGTGTACATTTTTCCAAGTCTGGCACAGGCCTTTGCCACACACAATATAGACAGTGAAGATAAAACGCATCACAGGACTGTGTAGGGCATGGCGTGTGAGCCCTGTAGCTATAAAAAGTGCTTTTGGGTTGAACTGCGTGTTGTCCAGCAGGAATTCAGTGTTTTTGAAGGGAGGATGAGATGAGACAGTGAGACAGACCCGGGTGAGTGTGGTTAGAGAGGTGTGACAGTAAGACAGACCAAGGTAAGCGAGGGAAGAGGTGAGTGTGACAGTAAGACAGACCCAGGTGAGCGAGTGTGGGTGGAGGTGTGAGTGTAGACGGCAAAACAACCCTCTACCTCCTCGCGGTGCCGGACGGGCAACTCTGTCGTGGGCAGTGCTGTGGGGGGGAGGTCCAATTTCGATTGGCTCCTCCCCTCATGGCATCTGTGTCCACCACAGGGGCTAAACCGGGGCTCTGGACAGGTGCGAGGGGCTGGTAACCCCTCCACCTTCAATTAATTACCACTAAACCGCGAATTAAGTATATAACTAATAAGCTTGTGGCGGAGGCCCCGGGGGGTATGAAGTCTCCTGGCCAAACCCCAATTGGCGGAGCCAGGAGATTGAATATCTACCCTCGGGGCTCCTCCAGAAACAACGAAAAGCCACTTCGTGTGGCCATGTGGAATGTTCGAACGCTCATTGCGGAGGAGAGGCTGCCACTCCTCTGTCAGGAGCTGGACCGGTACCGCCTGGATTTATGTGGCATTCAGGAGGTCCGGTGGACCGGTTCTGGCTCCTGCCACCATGAGGGGTGGATAGTCCTCTACTCGGGGCAGCAGACTGACAAACAACAGAGTGTGGCTCTTCTTTTGAACAAAAGAATGAAGGGGGTGTGGGAGCGTGGCGGTGAGGTGTGGGAAGCTGTAAGCCCCAGGCTACTTTGGGCACGCCTTCCCATAAACCGGAGGCGAGGAATGGTGGTCGTGGTTACTTATGCCCCCACCGAAGATGAACATCCGTGGAGGGATGCAGGCAAAGCCGATGAGTCAGATGCCTTCTATGACCTCCTGTCACAGGTGCTGGCTAAAGTGGCCCCTCGGGATAGAGTCATCATGTTGGGTGACTTCAATGCCCGAGTTGGTCATGATGCTGGCACCTGGTCTGGAGTGATTGGAGGGCATGGGCCAGATCAGCTCAATAACAACGGTAGGAGGCTGCTAGATTTTTGTGCAGCCCATGGGCTTATAATTACCAACACGCTGTTCCGGCATCGGCGCATCCACACAACATCATGGATGCATGCCGGGTCCAAGCAAGGACATTTGCTGGACTACATAGTGATGGACCAGCGGATGCGAGCCCAAGTCCTTGACACCAGGACCTACCGTGGAGCTGATCTGCCCTCTGACCATCGACTTGTCATCTGTAAGATGCGCCTGCCATTCTTCCACTCCGGTGATGGGTGTCTCAGTTATCTGATGAAAGTTGCAAACGAGAATTTCATCATCGCCTGCGGCTGGGGTTGGGATCGTCCGCCACTCCTCCTGATGTCGAGCGGTAATAAATGGGCGAGGTTTAGGACTGCCACTCATACAGCTGCATTGGCTGCTTTGGGTACACGGTCCAGACCTCCCCAGAGACCCTGGCTAACAGAGGACGTGTTCAGGATGGTTGAGAAAAAGTGACAGGCCCACTGTCATCGGCTACAGAATCCCACGTCAGAGAATGAGGAGGCTTACCACAGCCTTCGCTCGGAGGTTCGAAGAGCTGTGAGGCGCTGCAAGAATAGGTGGTGGTCACGGGTTGCTGAGGAGATGGAGTCTGCCTCAGTGGCCCGCGATCACAAATCTCTAACTCCATCAAAAAAGTAACCTGCAGCGCCACACCTATTACCATCATTAGGGGGAAAAAAACGGTGATCCAATCTCTGACCCCCAGGAACAGGTTTGCAGATTTGCTGAGCATTTCTGTGACTAGTCATCTGTGAGATGCGCCTGCCATTCTTCCACTCCGGTGGTGGGTGTACACCCAGGACCCCATTTCAACCTAAAGTGGCCTGGTCTCACAGTTATCTGATGAAAGTTGCAAGCGAGAATTTCATCATCGCTTGCGGCTGGGATTGGCATCGTCCCCGACTCCTCCTGATGTCGAGGGTAAATGGGCGAGGTTTAGGACTGTGACTCATGGAGCTGCAATGGCTGCTTTGGGTATGCGGTCCAGACCTCCCCAGAGACCCTGGCTGACAAAGGAGGTGTTCAGGATGGTTGAGAAAAAGCGACAGGCCCACTGTCATCGGCTACAGAATCCCACGTCAGAGAATGAGGAGGCTTACCGCAGCCTTCGCTCGGAGGTTCGGAGAGCCGTGAGGCGCTGCAAGGATGGGTGGTGGTCGCGGGTTGCTAAGGAGATGGAGTGTGCCTCAGTGGCCCGTGATCACAAATCTCTATTTAACTCCATCAAAAAGGTAACCAGCAGCGACACCACCTATTACCATCATTAGGGGAAAAAACGGTGATCCAATCTCCGACCCCCAGGAACAGGTTTGCAGATTTGCTGAGCATTTCTGTGAGGTCCTGGGGGAGGGAAAATCAGGAAGGAAAACATCGTGACACAAAGTGAGGATGACCCTGCTGAGGCTGCGGTGCCTCAAATATTGGAAGAAGTTACCCCCTGTGAGTGGCTGGCTGAGGTGCCATCTGTTGAAAAAGTACTGAAGGCGATCCGGAGTCTGAGACCAGGAAAGGCAGCGGGCAGAGATGATCTCCCAAGCGAAATGCTGAGAAAGGGTGGCGTTTGTGCACAGACTGCCCTATATGACATCATAACAACAGTCTGGACCACTGGACGGGTTCCGCAGGATTGGAAGGATGCCCTGGTGGTCCCCCTTTCTAAGAAGGGGGACCGCACAGACTAACAACTACAGGGGCATCTCACTCCTCAGTGTGCTGGGAAAGGTCCTGGCAAGGATTATTCAACATCGCCTTGCCAGGCACGCTGAGGAGAGGCTTGCGGAGCCCCAATGCGGTTTCAGGAAAGGGCGGCCCTGCACAGATGCCATATTTTCTGTCCGTCTGCTACAGCAGAGGTGTAGGGAATTCCAACAAGACCTACATCTCTGCTTTATTAACCTGGTCAAGGCCTATGATACCATCAGTAGGCCTGGGCTCTGGGTTGTTCTTCGTGCTTTTGGAGTACCTGACCCTCTGCTCACGATCATTAAGGACCTTCATGATGGTGAGCGGGCCCGGGTAAAACTACGTGGCCGGGAGTCAGAGCCATTCTCTGTACACCTTGGGGTGC